ATATACATAACCCATGGACACAACAATAGGGTGGTGAAGGCCTGGGGCAGGGGGTAGGGGTGGGCTAGAAGAGTCATTTGGGGAAAAGGGGGGACATATGTTATACTTTCAACAATAAAGATTTTAAAAATAATAATAAAATATAGAGAGGTATTTCTCTAAAGAAATAAACTTTGGAGATCTGATATTTTTCTATTGATGAAACACATCTATAGCCCTAGGGGGAAAAATATATATATATATATATATATATATATATATATATATATATATATATATTTTAGAGGCCTGATGCACAAAATTCGTGCAATAGTAGGCATATCTTCCCCTGGCTGCCGGCACTGGCTTCCCTCTGGCACCTGGGACCTGGGCTTCCCTGCAGCCCCAGCTTCATCTGGAAGGTCGTCTGGAAGGACATCTGGTCTAATTAGCATATTATGCTTTTATTATTATAGATTCAAAGTTGGTATTGCATACTAAAGGCTATGGAAGCCTTGAGTGTTATGACACTACCAAGAACTTTAGAAAGTTTGGCAGAGTTGCTACTGTGTCTGTGGCAACGTTAATGCTGCATGTCTACCATCCAAAGGCTGGCAAAAGGCTGGTGTAGTATTTTAGCATAAATGGGCTTTTTAGAGAGGGCAAAAAGTATCATTTTGATTTTTTTGTGCTATAATAAAAGCCCGTATGTACTTGTTTTGCAACCCTTGTAGTTGCTAAGTTTCCTCCAAAAGAAACCAAAAATCTTTTCCTTTGCAAAAGACAATTCCCAAGGTGGGCTGAGGAAAGAGCAGAAACCAATCAGGAAAGGAATTCTGTATTTTAATGGTGCCCTACTTTTCCATTTTCTCTTTATTAAAAATTCAGCTTCTGTTGAGCACAGATAGTGAAAACATGCCACCTCACTGATGTATGTAATGAAGTGGTCCTCAGAACAAAAGGATACATTGTGATCTGAAAATATTCTATCAAGTTATGAAAGCAAATGATTCCTTGCCAAAGCAATCAGCTAGAAATTCAAGAAAACTCTGCAGAGTTCTGTAGAGGCATCAAATCTATGTTTTGCAGTAGCACAATTTGTGATGTGTATGTGTTTGTGTTTACATATGTATATCTAGCCCATATGTAGATATTCACTTCTTATATTAAAGAAAGCAAAAAAGCCCAAGGAATGCAGAAACAAACAAAAAATGCTGCTCCAGATGGTGTGTCCATTCATGTGAGGAAGCGTCATTGAGAAGACTGAAGCTCCCTTGTGCTCTGTGTCCTCTGCTTGGCGCCCAGCCCTCGAGTGATGCTCTGCTGTTCCATGTCCCTCCTGCATGTGACACTGCCTGTTCACCTCGCAGTCTGCAGGCTTCATTTGCTCCAAAGACACTGTTCCTTTTCTGCTTGCTGCGAGCCAGGTTGGAAGGCCCGGCTGTCGCTTCCTAGCAGTTACTGTGCTGTGCTTCTGAGTAGCCACACACGCTTGTCACAGTTACTCTGCCCTTTCTGGTGACCATTTGGCAACCCTTTGACACAGGGGCTGCAGCGAGCTCCTGGCTAATGTGAGGGGTATGGCAAGTAGGGGTGCTAATGAAGTGGCTCGGTATGTTGCATGTGAATTTTGCATGCGATTCTGGCATCACTTTACAAGCTGCCCTGTGGGTGGGCTTTTCTGGAGACATGAAAAAAAGGGATTCTTCTAAAGGCCTCTTTTCTAGTCTTTCAAGCCTCTTCCCCTTCTATATTCCCTCTTTCCACCTACTATTGCTAATCTTGTAAGTCAAAATATTACAATCCTGTGCTATAAAGAAATAAAACAAAACAAAACAAAACAACAAAACAAAAAACTGTCTATTATTGATTGGATACTATCTAACCCCCGATGCCTGATATCCAAGGCTTTGCTAATGTGAGTTATGCAAATGGCTCCAGTAACTTTTTATCTGTCAATAAATGATGGCTATAACAACAATACTAATGTGTGGCTTTATTGGGCCTTATTAATTATAAAGAGCGTTCACGTTGATGGTCATAACAAGCTCATTATTCTCAGTCCTCATATGAGGAAAGCAAGCCTTTAGGAAAATGTGCACATTTGCAAGCCTCGAGCAGGCCTCCGAGCACTTTGCATGCACATTCGGGAATTCTGGAAAGCACCATTTTGACATTCATTTGTAACATTGAAAGACTTTGAATAATAACCCAGAGACTTAAATTATAGTATGCAGGGCCAAGTTTCCCTGCTCCTTTCCCACTCTTGCTAAGTACATGGCATACTCTGAACTGGTTACTTGGGCTTGTCTCACCCCCTTGGCAATGCAGGCGGCCGCTGGGGTGTTCTCCAAGCTTCAGCTCTTTTGGGCATCTTAAGGAGATAATACCTATTGCGTGTTGAGGCCCCTGGAGGCTGTGGCATAGCTCTTACGATTTGGCATTTGTAGCCAAAAGTAATTGTTTCAAAATAATCCCAACGAGGAGGCGGTATTATTTTTTTGCTCTCTTGCTAGAGCCATAAGAGGGTAGGGAGGGGCCTTAGAAATGGATGCAGATGCTGTTGTCACGGTTTCTTGAGAAGAGAGCAAGCAGTGAGGGTATTCTTAAAACTACCGCATAGTGCTGAGACATCATAAGCACTCAGTAATTATCTGTGAAATGCTGAAACAAGTAGCATTTTCTCTGTGTATTTGATGGTGATGAGCAGATATCCCTGCTGTCGGGAAAGCCTTTATCATCTTGGCTTAACCACCCCAGGAACAACGCTCTCAGATGCAGAGGTTTCCCACTTCCTGGATCCAGACCAAGGTATACGCGCTGGCATTCTCATCTTGTCAGTTTCCCTCAACCACTCAGTGCCACGTGAACAGAAGAGACTGAAATAATCCGGGACAGCTAAAGTGCTGCCCCCATGACTTTGGAATTTCTGTCCCAGTCTCGTGACAAGTGGAATCATCTTACCAGCAACAAAGAGGGACTATTTTCATTGAAAACCTACATGGCAGGCAGAGAGGGTAAGCTCCTTACTTGCTTTAGCTCTGATTCCCACCCAAACTTAATTGGGTAGGAATGATTATCCTCAATCCACAGACAATAATACCCAGCCCAGAGAGGTTAGGCAAATTCTTCAAATTCGAAGAACTCTAAGTGTAACCAGGGTTCGAGCCAGCTCTATAGTAACCGGGTCACTGTTTTGCAGTATGGGTGTGGGGAGCCCAAGGAGATGAATTGTGTGTCATGTGCTACCCACACTTGATCTCCTTGACTTCTCTCAACAGCTCTGAGAGGTTAGTGTTACTATTCCCATTTATGGATAAATAAACTGAGGCTTGGAAATCATGAATAAATCCTAAGTTTTTATACCAAGGTTGAATGTCGGGATTGTTTCTACATAGCCATAGATTACTTAAGCTATGGTACACAGCAGAGTTTTCAAGACTTGGTTTGTGTGCATACATATAGATGTGTTCAATTATTTGAATCCTAGACAAAGGAGATCTGCCCAGGGTGGATAAGAGGTGTATGAAATAGGAGAAAAATATGAAGTTCTTTCCTAAAAAGTGTTACATGTGGGCTCAAAACTTAAATGTGCATTGCTGAATATAAATCAAGTGTCCTTTACATTTTTTTGCTTATTTATTTTTAATCTATTTTAGGTCTTCTGTATGAGAATAAAATAGAATGAATGAGAGAGCAAATGCATGCTTTATTGGAAGTCGGTTTTCAGAATCTATGTTTGAATATAGAACAAGTTGATGCCTGAAAGATTGTTTTCCACAGAATGGAAACTACCTTGATTGAATCAGGACTTGAAATTGGGCGTTTCTCGTCAGTGAGGCTGGTTGTACTGTTGTCCAGCTGTTTACAGATGCTTCCACCCAGTAGGAATTTTACCCTGAGTCAGAAAGTTAATGGCGTGGCTGTCACCTTGTGATTTATTAGTAAAATTGCCCCTCTGAGTGCAGGGTATGTAGAAGGATGGTCAGCTCATAACTCATGCTGTTGCATAGTGGCAATGATCATGGGTAAGACAGACCCTTCAGAAAGTGAGGTTGTGAGTAAAATAATAATGCTTTCCCTGCTGTAGTACATGTCATGATGCCGTCTCATGGGCAATGTGGCAGAAACTACTCCTATAATTTCCTCTTTGTAAACAGAGAATGTGTTCATGGAAATTCTGAGAGGTTATTTGGGATATTGGATTTTGCTTTACGGCATCTCATGGTTCTTTAAACTTTGCATAAATGACCAGGTTGGGGGTTTAGTTGGGGTTTAAAAAGCAGATCATGCCTTTTACTTTTTTTCTGTGACATTGGCTTATAATAAACTGACCTCTGAATGTGCCTGAATAAAAGCAACTCAGAATTTGGGGGGATGGTTGGGTTATGGTAAAGCTTTCAGGATAACTCCCAGCACCTCCACAGCAGCCAAAGAATTTTCAGTCCTACAGAAACACACATTAACCAATTCTAATTCTTTTCTATCTAGCTTGTAGCCTCTGAAAAAACTTAATAATTAACGAGGTACACCATCAGAGAGTTTTTAAAAGCCTTCGCGTAACTGCTTGCTTTGACTCCATCCAATATGTGACATATTCCAGAGAGAATCAATAATCTAAGATTTTAAGATGAGAATATATATATATATATATATATATATATATATATATATATATATATATATATATAACAATATCCTGGTTGCTTATTTGGACTGTAGGAATTAGACTACAGAGCTACAGATGAATCCATTAGCATGTACTTGCTGGTCAAGACTGTGGCACACCCTGCCCTCCATGGAAAGAGACACACCCATTTTTAGCCACCCACACATACTTTCCTTCGCTTATTCAGGAATTTTGCCTACATTTACATGTTTTTCTCTTACAGACCACACAGCATGTCCTGTGGGTCAGAGGAAATATGGAGAATGTAGCACAACTTACTTTCTACTGGAATGCGTGTCTTCTGTCTAGATTTCCTTCAGTTACCAAGGTTTGATCATTTCAATTTTTTCAGATGTATTAGAAAAGTCTCGCCTGAAAATACAAGTCGGCTTTGTTAAAACCACTTCCAAAGCATACCTGTAAGTCAAGTGGCATTTGAGTACATAGCAATTGCTTTAAAATATATTTGCCAAATGGATTGACTATTATTGCCATATTGAGAGTAATTCTCCATATTGTGGAGAGAGATACAATGGTCTAACTTAGTCTAATTTTATTGAACAGAAGACTCTTTTAACCAATTCCTCACATTCAGATCCATGCTTACATGAGCTAAGCAGCCTTGTAAGATGGCCTCCAATTATTCCCGAGTCCTTGAATTCATGCCCTCGTGTAATACCATCCTCTTGAGTGGAGGCTGAGCTTAATGACTCGCTCCTACCAAATAAAATATGGCAAAAGCGCTGGATAGCACATCTGAGATTAGGTTATAAAAGACTGGCTTTGACCTGGCTGGCATTCTCTGGCTCTCTCAGTCCCTCGGATGAAGCCAGCTGCTATATGTGAGCTTTCCTATGGAGAGGCCCATGTGGCAAGGCGGTGAGGGTGAAGCCTCTGGCCAACAGCCAAGTCATTGAGGCCCTTAGTAAAAAAAACTGCCAAGAAACTGAATCCTGCCAACAACTGAGTGAGCTTGGAAGTGGACTTTTGTTGAACCTTGAGATGGTTGTAGCCCCGACTGATTCTTTGCAGACTTGCAAGAGGCTTGAGCTGGAGAACCTAGTTAAGCTACATCCAGATTTATAACTTACAGAACCTGTTAAATAATAAATGTGTATTGTCTTAAGCTGCTAAATTTGGGGCATAATTTTATACACAGCAGCAGATAGCTAACACACTAAGCAAAAGCCAGTCCTTCCTCTATCTTTCCTCCTTCCCTCACTCCCACTTCTCCTTCTTTCAGATGTTGGTTAAGCATCTTCTACATGCCAGGGACCATGATAGACATTGTGAATGTGTCATTTGACATGACAGATGTGATGGCTGCACTCATAAGGCTCACATGGGGAGAAAAACACTGGACAAATGATCTAATGACTGACTTGACAGTAATGGTAGAGTATTTTAGAAATATGACATGGGGTCCTGAGTTATTCTGAGAGAAGTTGGTCATCAGGGAAAGGCTTCTTAAACCATAAAGTGTGAGTGGAATAATTTCAATTTGATTTCCCATGGAGGGAATTCCCTTCCCATGGAGGAATCCAGCCACTTTCCTTCCCATGGAGGAATCCACACACCTATATAATGTGATCATATGACATTTACAAATAGAAATGGAAAGCTATTCCATACTCAGCAATAAAAACAGATGAAATGCTCTCATTGGTGACATGAGATATCATGCTAAGCAAAAAAATCAGATGGAAAAAGTAAAAACACAAAACCATGTAATTTCACTCATATGTGGGATATAAAACTGAAAGCAACAAATGAAAATACTAGACAAATAAAAACACATATATGCAGACAACAGTATGGTGGTTACCAGAGGGAAAGGAGGATGGGAGAGGTAGTAAAGGGTAAAAGGAATCAGATATATGGTGGCAAAAAAAGATTTGACTTTGGATGGTAAACACAGAATACAATATACAGATGATGTATCATAGAATTGTATACTTAAAACCTGTATAATTTTATTAACCAATGTCACCCCAATAAATTTAATAAAAAATCTTAAAAAAAGAAATGTATGCATGACAAACATATGGGCCATCTGCTGATACTCAAAATATTTTCTTTGATAAATAAACAATTTTTGTCTGTGTGCCTTGGACCTATCTTTTACTAAATTTATTGTCTTGAGTGCTGGCTCCCTTACACTGCCCCTACCACCTCCAGATGCTGTGTCTCTGCATTTTAATAGGACATTTCTATAATTATTTGTTAAATTACAAATGACTATGGACGTGAGAGTATTTTAAGGGCAAGCATGATTGTTAATTATTTTTTCTTTTCTTTTTAAGAAGAAAAAGAGACTTCCAAAGGTTAATTATCAGTGATTGGAAAGGCCTCATCTAAAAAACCACACAGTTTTGTTTTATGAGGATGGCAGCCTATATGTATTTGTTTTCATAGTGTGAAACTCAATCTACAATATCCTTATTGGCTCTCCCAACATTCCTAGGCCCTGGAGTTCCCCCAAAAGGTCAAGCACCAAGATTTAACTGAAACTTGAAATTCCTGAGAATAATTATGATAAAAGGGCGAAGGACCATGGTAATGGATGGATGTGTTTAATGCTAGTAAGTGAGAGGTGACAGATGACATGGGTGAAGGTGATAAAAGAAAGAAAAATATGGGAGTTTATTCAACTAGAAGACAAAGGGCTTTTTTTGGGGAAAGAAACAGATAGTTGTTGGTAATGTAGAAATGATTATGGGGACCAGGCTGTGAGCTTTCAGAGTTGGATATAATAAGACAAAAACTTGCAGTGCTGCCTCAAAATTATGTGGGAGGCATGTGGAGTAGACCCTCTGGCTGATTATTGTAGTCATCTCTGGGTCCTGATCTTGTGAATCTATACTAATAAAAGGGTAATATGCTAATTAGACCGGGTCAACCAGACATCTTCCGGATATCCAACTTCCTTCCGGACAAAGCCATGGTGGTGGGGGCCGAGGCAGAGGCGGTTGGGGTGATCAGCCTGGCAGGGCAGGGCAATTGGGGGAGATCAGGCAGGCAGGCAGAGGTGGTTAGGGGTGATCAGGCAGGCAGGCAGGCAAGCGGTTAGGAGCTAGCGGTCCTGGATTGTGAGAGGGATGTCCAACTGCCGGTTTAGGCCTGATCCCTATGGACATCCGCTGAGGGGTCCCAGATTGGAGAGGGTTCAGGCCAGGCTGAGGGACACCCCCAACCCCCGTGCACAAATTTTGTGCACCGGGGCTCTAGTAAAAAATAAAAAACACTTAGAGGATCCATAATTCCAGATTAAGATTTTTTGGGGGCAGAACTAAGTGCAATGTTTCTGAGAATAGAGGAAAGGGTGTAGAAGAGGGGAGGGAAAGCAAAATCAGTAAAGCTATAGATGCCAGCACAAGCAGCCTTTCTCTCCATTTAGGCCCAGGAGTTGCTCATATATCTACTAAATACTTTCAACTTATTGTTCATAGAAAGAATTGAAATATGAATATAATTAGCCTATAACCACCAGTACAATAGAAAAGCAAGATGATATTTTTAGAATGCAGACAATTCTAAAATTTCTTAATAAGCTTCTTGGAATAGTTCATTTTATTTGATTTTGGAACTCAGGTAAGAATATATAAAAGTTAATGATTATAGGAGAATTCAATAGATGAGAAAAGTGCATGAAGACTTTCCATAATGCAACGTGATGGCATGGTTACTGCTAATTGTGGTCAAGGTGATGGATGTATTTGTTGGAAATCTTTTGGTTGCAAATGACAGAGAAGACAACTCAATAGCTAAGGTAAGAAGATGTATTGGCTCATAGGACTGTAAAAGAAAATATATTGAAAAGGTAAGGCTGGATCCAGCAGCTTGGCCATCCCTGGCTCTTCTCAATGTAAGATACCTGTCAATGCTTCTAGAGCCCATAAGAGTTCTTGTATACATTATTCAAGAAGAGTATGCCAGTGGAAGAGCAAGGGATCTTCTTTTTTTGAGGCCTCCATCAAATATCTTCTTACCTATTAGTGATATGCACTGGGTCAGAGGCTCATGTCTCACCCAATCAGTAAGGACATGGAAATAGGATCTCTTGATTGCCTGAAGCCAATTAAAGCCTAGCCCTGAAGCAAGAGAACAATTTCCTTTGAAGCACACTGATTGAATGAGGGAGGATCTTATACCTGAACAAAACTCAAGATACTGTTATCAAATGAAAAGAATGGATGCAGGGATCAAAGCCCAACAAAATCCTCTTTATAGGGCAATGTGCTCTTTCATGTTGGAATGGGAAGGTATCTAAAGTTCCCTTCGTTCCTAGATGCAGTAGAATGAAAGGTACCATCTTTTATACTATTACTAGAGGCCCGATACATGAAATTCATGCAAGAGTAGGCCTTCCTTCCCCTGGCTGCTGGCACCGGCTTCCCTCTGGCACCTGGGACCTGGGACCCAGGTTGCACTCGCAGCCTCAGCTTTGTCCGGAAGGTCACCTGGAAGGATGTTTGGAAGGACATCTGGTCTAACTAGCATATTATGCTTTTATTATTATAGATAGGCTAACAAAAAATATTGCTCCTTCTCCTATGGAAAAGCCATCAGGTTCAGTGTATAAAGGTGAGGAGGCAGTGTGGGGCCATTGGATTATTCAGGAAGGCTCTAGTTCCTAAGTATTTTACAAGTGACTTGAGACTTTTAATTTCTGGCCTCTGATGTAAGGTAGCCTCTGACTTTAAACATTTCACCATCCTCTATGAGGGGTGGGGTGTTCACAGCATAGGTATGGTTGATCTGTTTTATGATAAGTTTCTGAATATAAAAGAACTTAGAAATTTGTTATTTTTTTGAACTATGAATAACTGAATGGCTGGTAAAAGGAGCCATAGACTATTATTTCTTCCATGAATGATGGAGACAGGACCATAATTAATACCAGTCACACAAATTCCCAAAACTGGCAGAGTGGTTAAATAGGAGGGAAGAAATCCTCTACACCAACCCACAGGTGACCTTCAACAGAGAAAATGGGTTTTGTTCCATAAATAAACATAATAAGTATAATGAACAGGAAGTAGCTCATTATTTAGAAAAATCAACTGATCATCTCTCGTTGATTATATAAATGCCAAAGAGCACTTTCAAGTATTTTAAAGATAATATAGTGGTTTGCAAATGCCTTTCTACAGAATAGCAAAGGAACAGTATGTACATTAAAAAAGCATGCTGACCTTGTCAAAGGGACTCTATAAATTACCTTGTGAAGAAGAGCACAGATTCTGTGGCACCATCCTGTCATTGCCCAACACTTTAGCAAGAGTTAGTAGCTAATTCTTAATTTCTGAAAATAAAGATAATCCGTTATAGGAAACAGATTCAATTAAAACAGGACAATGTTATCAGAGTGCTCTAACCAGTCCTAAGTCTTTCACTGGGAGTTGAGGCTCTGGAGTTA